TCTCTCTCTCTCTCTCTCTCTATCTCTCTCTTACTCTCCCCTCTCTTTCTCGTCTTGTTAAGGTTAAGGTATTCGCCTCTCATTCAAAGGTCTCGGGTTCGAATCTTGGTAGCGACGGAACAATATTCTTCTCTTAAACTGTCTTTCGTCTTTCCTTCTCTCTTGCAAAATTCTGTCGTCTGGTTTCGTCTCCACTTTCTTCCTCCACCCCTCACCTCGTTTGCTCCTGACTCTTTCTGCAGCCTTTCTACTGCTACTCATTGGCTCCTTCTTACTCTGTCTTTCAGCCACACCCCTGATCTTCTGGTACTAAAGATTTACACCTAGCGTTCTCGGACATAAGGGCAAAAAATCACGGAGGTCCCGTGACTAAGCTGAGCACGTTAAAGATCCCTTGGTGGTCCAAAATCGATAAGAGTAGGCTTCGGCCGCCACCTGAAGGCTATCTCGCTAATTAGTGAACCAAATTTTTAACGAATTTTGCACAAGCTAACATAGTGAGGAGTCTTAAAATCTGCACTCAAATTTGAAAAAAAAAGTTTCGTTTCAATGGATGCGGTGGCCATATATAGGATTTTGTTGACATGTCTTACGCAATGAATACCGCACTTATTTTTAAAAAATGGAAATTGATTGATTTTTTTTTTTTTGCATGCATGTTAGCAAACATTGAATAAAAAATGTATCAGTTTTTTGGGGGGTTTTTTCCTAAACGAATGAGAACATTTTTAATGAATTTTTTTCCGTAGGTAGATCTAGATCGAATATTTAAGTTTGCGAAAAATTCACACTCCGGACACCACCACCAAAAATCTATTCCATGTATCAAAAATTCAACAGACAAATTTTTAGTATTGCATAATTTTCTCTTCATTCTGTGGACATTCCACGAAGATTGGATGAAAAATGGTGGAGTTATTTTTAAAAAGTATAGAGGTAAATCGTTTTGAGAAAACGGCTGATAAAGAAAAACATAATAATAATATTGAATTTATGAGGAAATGGTGACGACAAACATGCCCGGTATGGGAAGAAATAAAGCTCTTGGGGTTCTAGTTCTAATGCAATGGAATAGTTGTAGGAGAGGCTGATGAAGCTAAAAGTACCCACAACCCAAATTCTATAATGTTTGCCAAATCGGGGGGGGGGGGGGGGGGGGGGTGGGGGGTGGTTTATTTTTTCTTTTTATTTAGCTATCAAATTAATTAGTGACGGGTAAAAAATGAGCAATGGGAAACAACCATTAAAAAGAACAAACAAATCATAGTTCAACCAAGAATTCACTCCCTTGGATAAACTAGCCAGGACTACTTTCGTTCTGCAACTTGCTTGTACTTACACACACTAGATCTACGCCAGTGTCGGTTGTTTTTGTTTTTTTAATGATCAATTTTGGTACAGGTATACCCTATATATCTCCGGAAGTCACAATACATTGAGACTGGGTAGCGTTGAAAGGAAAGGTTTCACTCTGTAAGGTATTTTATTTTTTTCTTCTTTTTACAGTGTAATGCTGTCTCCAATTTTAACATTCTCCGATTATAATGTGACGAAAACGTAACCCATATTAAAGATCGAATTGAGACGTGATCGAAAATATAGAAATGCACCCCCCCCCCCCCCCCCCCCGAGAACTGATAATTTTCCAATACTTTCACCAGAAGGCCTATATTACACAAAACCTGAGCTACTAGAAAATCAACAATAATGTAACCTTGGGTTTTTCATATGTCCCTGAATCAGAAAGAAAGGTTGTACCCCGAGTCAGCCTGTCCTGCATGAGTGGTTGCTTTCCTTGAAGAAAAGCCCCTTGTTGTAAGCTTTAAAATGATCCTTTATTTCCCAGTCAAACATTTCATTTTTTAAATTCAAAGACAACATTTTATTTATATTTATACCAACAGCTAGTTTAACGTTCCATTATAGGCTATACTTGCTCGCAATTGTCAGAGCTATAATGCTAAATTCTACTAGGTTTAAATAGGCCAATTCAATCATCTAAAAAAATTCTAAAAGCATCAAAAGGTTTATGAGACATTATGATTAGCCTATGTCTTAGATGCATACTACTTTTAATTATCAACTCATGATGCAATTAACTTGAAACACCATTGTCGACTTGGACCTATTTTTGTGTACATATCTCGCCTCTACGACAATCTGGCAAGAGTGAAAGGGGCGTTCACAAGTAGTCTATCAACTTTCTTATCAGGGGTCCCTCGATACAAAATTATTTTTCAGCTCATAGTTAAAAATATCCAATTTCATAAATGTCTAGAAAGGAATGTACACTTTTTATTTGATTTTACACTTAAGATAAACAAGAATCATTTGCATTACTGTTTAGTTAAAAAACAACAACAATTCATTCAACAAGCAGCTGTGTGAATTTGAATTAGTGAACGCACACACGTGTAACACTTTGTCTGCTGTGCAGTGCGGAACGCAGCTGTGTCGTCTTGTTTATTTGGTTCAACTTTCTGCAGATCTGCCGACTTCCGACACGGTCTTTGTAACTAAATCCTGCCTGAGTGACGCAAGTATTGCATGAGAAAATCTACAATAAATAGAAGCTTCTCAACTGAAGAAGGAAGTATTCATTTACGTGTTTAGACTTGAGAGCAAGTCATATCTAGATCTATTTCCAGCCATTCTACCAGGACGAAGCCTAGACTCTACTTTGAAAATGAGTGCCCAAGGCGATCAAGTTATCGGGTAAGAATTTGAAATAAAGTTGAAGTAGATTATAGACCTAGAGTCTAGTGTAGATCTAGACTCTAGATCTAAATCTAGATCTAGATCTAGATATCTAGATCTAGATCATCTAGATTAGAAATCTAGATCTAGGGGAGGAGTTCTGCAGAGGGCCGCACTTACCGTGACAAGGTCCAATGTCAATGAGCAAACTATAGATAAGTACAAGGGTTGGTTATGTCATTATAATGCTTATGGTTCGGGGTTAGGGTTAGAGTAGGCTATGCCATTATACCCAGCACAAAAATATCCTCTTTTGTGTGCTTTTGGTCGGCCGGCCGGCCCTCTGCGGGACTCTTTCCAGACTTATTCTTCTAGATCTAGACTATCTAGATCTCTAGATTAGATCTAGATCTAGATCTAGATTCTAGATCCTAATCTAGACTAGATTCAGGAGGACTTCTGTAACGAGCGACCACTATGAGACAGAGCAGAATTGAGGGCTTGGGGTAGCGGTAAGGTTAGGGTTAGGTCTAGACCTCTTCTTTATTGTGTTTGATGGGGTGGTCGCTCGTTACGGAAGTCCTTCCCTAGATTCTAAAGCTCGGCAAAGTCAGTAAAATCAATCATTCATCATAGATCTAGATCTAGAGACATCGGCCTTTGGCGCGACCGTGCCCTGAGCGCGACCAGTTCCCCATTTATTTTTCCTTTTGTGCAACTCGTGTACAATCTGTTTTAATTGAGTTACGTGTCTTGTCTAGTTCCACTTTAGGTCAATCCTTTTCCGAGTACGTCAGTCGTCTGCTAGTGCAGCAGTCAAGTTCGATGTGAAAGGCTTATCAGAAACATTCTTTGAGAAGTTTTCTTTAGTTACTAAACTAGAGTAGCTGGCCCAACCTGTGACCACTTGTCTCTATACTATACCCTCTGTTTTTGATAGATAATTATTTTGTTTTCATCATAATTTGCTAAAGAAAGGATTATACTAACCTTTAAATAGTGTACTAACAACTTTCTTGCACCTTTTATGTCTGTGCGCACATGGTCCCTCCCTGTTCCGTATGCGGTCGCGCTGAGGGCATGCGGTCGTGCCAAGGGCAGAACATTTTTAAGATGTTAAAATGTGAAATCTGCAAATGACGTTTTGGAATGAGTGACGATATCACAGTATAAATCGGAAGTTGACACACTGAAGCGGCCCTGAACATGGATTGCCTGACCTATTTTGCCGACAGAAACTGCTGAGAATCAAAATTATATATGACAAGTGGTCGCGGGTTGGGCCAGGTACTCTAGATCTTAGGTCTAGGCTACAGTGGAGTCCACTTATAAAATGAGTCCTGAAGAAATGAGATAAAAATCTGTTTATTACTTTTAAGACATTATAATAAGGAAGTGTCTCCCGAGACCAGGGAAATTTTCTGCGTGTGCGCATGCTCAAACCCCGAGTCCAACTTCCTTTCCTTTCAATTTTCGACTTCAAGATGGCGGCCTCCATCTCCGTAGGGCAGTATTTCGACTCATTTGATGATTTTATGGCCGTCTTGACGTCGAGGAAAGCCGAAAGCAACGAGCATCTAGTGGTAGGGAAGTCCAGTTTGACAGTGAGGGCTGCAAATTCAAAACTGAAAGGCAACTTTTGTTACAAAGAGGATTTGAAGTACACCCACGTCACCTTCAGGTGTGTCCACGAAGGCAAGTTCTCTTTAGAGACAATAGACCACACCAGACCACGATCATAACAATAGACCACACCAGACCACGATCCTGGTCTCTTTAGAGACAATAGGCCACACCAGACCACGATCCTGGTCTCTTTAGAGACAATAGGCCACACCAGACCACGATCATAACAATAGACCACACCAGACCACGATCCTGGTCTCTTTAGAGACAATAGACCACACCAGACCAGGATCCTGGTCTCTCTAGACTCACAGGCTAGACAGACCAGGATCCTGGTCTCTCTAGACTCACAGGCTAGACAGACCAGGATCCTGGTCTCTCTAGCCTCTTCCTTATAATAAATTCTGAAACCCCGTTTTATTGCCCATAAATCTTTGTAAATAAAAAATACTGCTATAGCCCAATCAGATAAATGCTCGAGTCTGTTATAGTGGAATACTATACTGCTGTGGCTGTGAACAGTGCATAGATCTAAGTCTTGGCCTTTTATAACATGTAAAACCTCGCCAGTTGAGAAACTTGCTGGTGATCAAACGAAACAAAGAATGGGAGAACCTGCATATGCGCCAACAATTAAGGCCGGAGTGAATGAGTGGGGGGGTGTGGCATGCGCAGACAAGCCGTTGTAAAGCAGAACGCATCGTGTGATAGGCCTCCCTAGTTTAGATTATCTGGGCCTACCATGCCTCTCACTGCCGATGCGGGGATAGAGAGGTTACAGTACAGTGCTGTGATGGAAGGAGCGATCGTGTGACGTGCGCAAGCAGACGGAACACATCACAGGGTGTGGTGGGGGTGGGACAACACAGCGGGCAAGTTAGACTAGAGATCATCTTTCCTTCTGATGGCCAACGCCGAACTGTCAACATCGTTAATGTTGAGAAACCTGATTTGATTTTTGATCAAATAAGGCCAAGAGGTCATTTTGGACAAAATCATTGTCAGGGGCGAATAAAAAAAATAAAAATAAACAGACAACAAACTATAGATTAGGCCTACTTCCTTTGAATTTATTACTGGATCCTTTATAATCGAGAATCCTGCTATAACAGACATTTCGTACCAGTCCCCTCCCTCTCGTTATGACAGGATTCCACTGTATGGCTCAAAGCACTACACAACTGTGACAGTGGAAGACACTCAACTAGAAGAAGTGAACTCCGTTACCTACCTTGGAAGTGTCATCGATGGTAAAGGTAAAACTGAGGCAGATGTAAAAGCAAGAACGGCCAAGGCAAGGTCGCCATTCAAGCAATTATCAAAAGTCTGGAAAGCAAGCAACATCTCACTGCTCACCAAGATTCGACTCTTTATTTCCAATGTCAAGTCTGTGCTCCTCTACGGCTGCGAAACTTGGAAGACAACAAAGACAGTGCTGAATAAAGTCCAGACTTTCATCAACAGATGTATGAGGAGTATCCTAAGAATTCAGTGGCAGGATAGAATAAGAAATGAAGAGCTGTGGGAAAGGACAGGACAAAAGGATATAGAAGTAGACTAAGAAGGTGGCATTGGATGGGACACACCTTCAGAAAGCCCTGTGGAAGCATCACAAGACAGTCAGTGCAATAGAACCCACAGGGAGCACAAGGCAGGCGTAGGCCACGGGAAACGTGGAGGAGATGTGTGGAAAGGGACATGAGAGAGATGAAGCTCACTTGGGAACGAGCTAGGAAGGATGGCCCAGAACAGAGATAAATGGAAGGAGCTTGTCATGTGGCTTATACCCTGCCAGGGGTGAAAGGCACTGATGAAGAATGCGCAATAGTTCTTAGAGATCTATCCGAGTGTTGATTGTTTGGTTTTTCTGCTGTGAAATAATTCAGAAATAAGCTGTTAACATCAGACGAGCGTCCATATATATATCAATATTGTTGACATTGCACTAAGCGGAAGCTAGCGTCATAGGACTAAATAACTTAAGCCCACCTAGATATTATAATCTAGTTCCTCCTCCTTCAAGCAGGTGTCAGGCCCGTAGAAGGCACCAACGATTACAAGTCTCAAAGACCATCAAAAACAGATAGGATGCCACATTTGAGCTTCCCAGTACAGGGTTGGGTTGATTTAAATCAGTTGATTTTTTAAATTTAAATCAACTTGATTTTTAAAATAAAAATCAGTGATTTAAATCACTTTTAAAATTTTTTATTTTTATTCAGTTTTTACACATTTCAACATTCAGAATTCCTTTCCTTGGTTTCATAAAACAGATATAAGGTTTAGTAGACTAATATAATCATGCTTAAAAGTCTTCTTTCCCCCCAGTCACTGTAAAATAAAACAGTTCTCAATTTACTTTTTTCCGTAATTGAAAACCAGGGTTGGATTGATTTAAATCAGTTGATTTTTTAAAATTTAAATCAACTTGATTTTAAAAATAGAACTCAGTGATTTAAATCACTTTAAAAAAATGTATTCTGTTTTTACATCTTTAAACATTCAAATTCCTTTCCTTGGTTTTATAAAACAGATATAAGGTTTAGTAGACTAAAATAATCATGCTTAAAAGTCTGCTTCCCCCCTGTCACTGTAAGTAGTAAAATAATACTGTATTCAATTTACTTTTTTTTCATAACTGAAATTAGCATTTTCTTTTTCTTTTTAGAGACAAACACAAGCGCGCGCACACACACACACTGTAATAAAATGCAAGTTTATCTATGCATAATTACCCCCCCCCCCCCTTCCTTTTACACTGACATTTTCTTCATTTTTTTGTTTGCGGCCATAACTCACTGATATAGCAGATAAAGGCTTTCTAAAATTGCAGTTGCTTAAATTAATCATTAGTTAAAATAAAGACAATGCATTTTGCACTAAAAGAACTTACTTTTAGCCTCCAAAAATCCCAAACTGTGTCGACATTTAAAAAAAAAAATTAAAAAAAAAACGATTTAAATTTAAAAAATCTGATTTAAATTTAAAAAATCGATTTTTAAAATTTTTATTTAAAAAATCAAAAAAATCACCAACCCTGTCCCAGTATAGTAATTAATGGTTTTATAAGATTGGCATTCATTACAATAAACGGCAGACTACTTACTTTTACTACAAACTACTGTATACATGCCTTACCCTGATGCAAGTAAAGAGGATTGACATACTTAAAAATGACTTTAAAAAGAGGAAGTAAAACATTTTCAGCTCAAAAACCACTGTCTACTTCTTTGCGGCTACGACTACTACTACATGTACTTTATGATTTGTCCCTTTGAAAATGATTTTTACAGAGCTTATATTATGCCTTCTACATTATAATATTCTTCACAGTTCTCGATAGATTGTTATGCATTCTATGGATCCGCAAAAAGCGCTGCGTGATCCACTGATCTAAAATGCGCAACAATTAATGGATTGTTGCACATGGCATGGATCCACAAAATGCGTTGCGCGATCCACCGATCACTGAAATCGACAGAATGCGCATGCCTGATTAATCTTTTCTAGGGATTTCTTGTGTTCAATAATGTTTTAGATTAGATCAAGAGATTGAGGAAGTAAATCAAGATCTGAATCTTGAATATTTGTTTATTAATTTCTCTAATTGAATTTGAATCTTGCTAATCTCTCCATGCATGGCCATCAGACCCAATCTGATAAGTCTGTCCCCATGACTCTGTGATCAATCCTATGGATCCCTAAAAGTTAATCTTTGCCAACCCTCCTGTAGTTTAGATTTTTACTGCCTGGAAGGTGGACTGTCAGCTTGAAATTTTTTATGTGTGACTGTGATAGAATAACTTTTTATTGAGAAAGGTAATGTTGCAAACCCACATGACTTTTTGTGTTCAGTTTTGTAATTTGTGTTCAGCATTGTTTGCGTGAAAATTCATCAAATTGCAACAGGTGTTAAATTAGTCTTTAAAACTAATCAAATAAATTAAACAAATTGAAATTGTTTTGAAAAACAACTGTTATACAGATCTCTTGTTTCTTGCAAACACAAATTTATATGTGTTTATATTATATATATCTTTTTCTGCTTTTTTTTTTTTCAGGCCTGATGGGAAACCTATTTCCAAGAAGGCTTTGAAAAAGCAACAGAAAGATGCAGAGAAAGCAGCCAAAAAAGCGGAATACAAGAAACAGAATACTCAAGAGGTATGGGAAGAAACAGAAAAGTGTAAAACAAATTATAGCAGGAGGTTATCAGCATGATTAGAATATTATCTAATTGCTTGAAAGTGGGTAGAAGGCAGGACTTCTTGTGTAACGGGAATTTTTTTTGGGTGGTATTTATTTTATGGTGCTCGCGACTCCATAGGTCATTTTACGAGTGTGCGGGGCACATTAAACTTTTTCAGTTTTTAGGAAATTTTGAATTTTGTTCAGGTGGCAGCTGAAGCCTACTCTTATCGATTTTAGACCACCAAGGGATCTTTAAATGCGCAACTTGCACATGATGGGCCCTCCGGGGTTTTTCGCCCTTCGCCGAAAAGACTAGGTGTAGATCTTTCCTACCAGAAAATCAGGTGTCTGGCTGAAAGACAGCAGTAAGATGGAGCGAAGGAGTAGCAGTAGAAAGGCTTGCAGAAAGAGTCAGGAGCCCAGAGGAGGAGGCAAAGGAGGTGAGGGGGTGGGGGCAGAAAGTGGAGACGAAAGCAGACAACAGAACATTGCTAGAGAGCAGGTGAATTTTTAATTTTGTGTTGAAAAGGATTCTGGTATGATGTTATCATTAAACTCTGAGCTCTGCAAATCTGCAAACGCACTTTTTCATGTGAGTACTCAGCTTTGCAGATAACTGAACCTCATGGGCTATAAGTGGGAATTCCTTGATAAAAGTATTTTGAATAGAACGATGAATTCCAAACCATGCATACTGCCCCAGGCACAGAATACTACGGTTTCTTTTATCATTTTATCCACACCACTGCACTGGGTTACAGTTACAAAGATATTCATAACTTTGTCTTTTCTGCATTATAACATCTTTTGACAAAATTGTAGAATTCAGTTGCACTACGAAGTCGGCATGTGTGTTCTCTTGAAACATTAGTTTTAGTGGTTGAAAGGGTTTTTTGACTAATAGGTGTTACTGACATTGTTATTCCCATGGTCTCACTTTCCCCCCCTCAGGGAGCGGAGCAGGAGGTTCAGACAGAGGATCAGTCTGCAGGTCGCTATGGTAACCTGCCTTTGAACCAGTCCCAGGAGAGACTTGATAGGCGCCTGTATAAAGTAAACGAGTTGCAGCCGTCCATCTCTGGTCAGAAGATCTGGGTTAGAGGAAGGTTGCACACTTGTAGGAGCAAAGGTGAGGGCTTTCAGTGCGTCTATTATTAATGAGTGCTCATATTTAAGGCAACCCCTACTTTTTTAATGGTATCCCGGACAGCCTGGAGTCTCTCAGTGTTAACTACAGTCGAAATTGTCTAAGACAGCTACGTGTAGTTGAAGAGAAAAGTGTCTGAGATAGGTGGATGTTTTACACACTGTTATTATTATTCATTATCATGTTTAAAAAACATGCGGCGGGAGGCTATGGAAAGTGGCTGTTTTTACAGGTTATATCTTATACAGGTGGCAGTTACAGCATATTGGACTGGATTTTCACATAGAATAGTCAAATGGTTGAAACTTCAGCATTTTGTATTAACTATTTAAAGGGAATCCTTAGGGTTTCCCCTGTAGTTTGAAAGTATGGTGATAAAATATTATTTTAAAAAGACCCACCCTCTCTTGTTGAGTGCTATTGAGGATGTATTTCCTGTCAGAGCCAGCCTTAGACAGTCTTTGTATATGGCACTGTGTGTGTGTGTATGTATGTCTGTGTTAAAGTGGCCTAGTAGATCAAATGTTTGTCACTGTGAGTGTGAGAGCCCAATATTTGGTTCACTGTGACAACATCGGGCAGAAATAGAAAATGGAAAGATAGGTAAATTTTAGATGTCACGGATGTTTGTACCATAAATTTCTGCATGTTAGCTTGAATTTGCAACCTGGTTTTCCACAACTCACCAGCTTACTCTACAGAGGATTTTTTTTAATAGTAGAGGGTTTTACGGCGCTCGCGTTGGAGTCAACAGAGAAGTCTTTACAGGGAATCAGACTTATTCTGCTCACCTCTCTAGCTTCAACAGCACAAGGTCTGCTTCGACTATCAAGGCACCCTGGAAATAGCAGGTCACAAGAGAGTGACAAATATACAAAAGAAGTAGAGGCAAAAACTACAATAGTAGTATAAGGAAAGAAAAAACAGCAGTTCCCTGTTGTAGATTGGCACAGTTATGAGCGTGACATGAATCAGCCCATTTACAATTCTACTGTGCTTGAACGAGAAATGTCCCCCCTTTGGGAATGACCTAAAGACACTACAGCCAGTGGCACTACCCCGGGGGGCTTACAGAGAATGATTTATGATAAACAAATTATTTTATCATTTTCTAAGGAGTGAATAGTACACATAATCCTACATTTCTTTGTCATTCTCCCCTGCAGGCAAGCAGTGTTTCTTTGTTATCCGGCAGCAGAAATGGACAGTGCAGGTGTTCGCTATGCAGAATGAGAATATCAGCAAACAGATGATCAAGTTTGTGTCCAGGTATGTTCACAAATTATAAGGCTTTGTTTATATCTCACAGAGGAGTAAATTGAGACACTTGTTTAGGTATGTGCATAACAAATTATAAGGCTCAGTTATTTCTCACGAAAGAGTAAATTGGCTTTAATATATTTATGATTTTTATTGAACTTTCCTTGTTTAGGTATGTACGCAAATTATTAGGCTCAGTTTATTTCTCACAGAGGAGTAAATTGGGGTTTTTGATTTATTTGTGATCTTTATTGAAACCTTCCTTGTTTCGACTCTAAATGCAGCATTCTCTATCACAGTTGAGGCTTTCTTTATTTTATCCTATGATACACCCATCTAATATTTTTCAGTGCGTGGTGTGGTTATGAAGCTGTTTCAAAAGTTGGTAGATGGTGTTTAAAACAAAACATGTTTTCACAGACCCTGGCATTTTAAGGGTAACTATTTAAGATAAAAACAGTGTCCTCTCTACTCTTCTTGTGGTAATTTCTGTTAATTATTTTAGCTGTAGCAGGCACTCATTTGCTTATAATTCAAATTCTACGATAAGTCTTATTTTTCTTTTCTCCTTTAGTACAGTTTTTATTTGTCAGATATCTCAGAATGATGTGGTTGAAGAGACATTTAGTCTGCTTTGTCTTGGGGTGTGGGGGGAGGGTTTGGTATAAGCTGCTGCTTTTTTAATTGAAATTTTGCACACACAGCTGAGACATTGCTTATAAAGAAACTTGTTTAGTTAATGAGGCGCTTTATATTTTATATACAGCAGTACTGTCAGATTTGTTTTTTCCCATTTTGCTATTTAAATCATGTTTGTTAATGGTAAACACGCTGGCTGTAACTTCCTGTATGTCGTTCTGTATTTTCAGTGTCAGCGCTGAGTCCATCATTGACGTGGAGGGCACCGTCCAGAAGACTGACCAGAAGATTCAGTCATGTACACAACAGGATGTAGAGCTGAGCCTTTCTCAGGTTAGTTGTTGTTCCACATTTGTCATGTCTCCTCCATGTCTACTGCCTTTTGGATAGTCTCATAGTGTAGAAAAGGCCTTAAAACCCTTACCGTATTTAGTATTTTTATTCTTGAGGATTCTAGAATTTGATAGTGAGGTTTTAGGCAAAGGTTGTTTATTTTGAGAATTTTCCTTCTGTGTGGGTTTTTTTTGGGGGGGGGGGGATATTTTACACGCACAATTATCTGTGGGAGAAAGTGGGTGGTCTGTTGATGCTCGGGTGTGCTTTGCTCCTTCTTTTCTGTCAAACTTCTATCGTTTTTATCTCACCTCCTTCTTTTTTATGTTTGTTATGTTTGTTATTCTCCTTTTACACCTTTAATTTTCAACACTGATATGATCTTATCTTGTTGTTATCCATGGGAGAAAGTTTAATACAGGTTTCTGCACCAATTGTTTTGACCTAGGTAAATTCTTGTGCTATAGGTCTTGATAGCCTCGATTGAATGATAAGCTTGAAATATTGACCTAGGCAGAAGAGTACATACCATGGTCCACTCTTCATCATCTGCCTTTTTCACCTTGATAATTGGTATAGGCCACCAAGAAGGGCCTGTCTCTGTTCTGGGCTATCTTCTGTACCTCCAGTCAACTGTGCCCCATATGTCTGAGATCTGCCTCCAGATTCGGTTCTAAGGTGGATCTCTGCCTTTCTCTTTTTCTCCTCCCCTGGGGATTCCATCTTTGGCCTCGTCTTGTCACATTGTGGACTGGCTTTCGTAGTGTTGGCCCAATCCACCACCACCATCTTCTTCTTTTGATCTCTGTGCCAGTTGGTTGTTGCTTGGTTTTCCTCTATAATGCTACTTTTCTGATGGAGTCAGGTTAAAGGATTTTTATAATCCTCCTCAGAAATCCATTCACTGATTCAGCCTGCCGATAATTTTGACTCCGTACACAAATAAGTGGTGACCGCTTCGGGACCTCACGAGTAGTCTCACAAAAAGTTATTAAAGAAATATCTAAGTTTGAAGAAATCCTATGTGTGGCATATAGAAATGTTCAGAATTTAGAAAAAAATATTCAGTGACACTAGAAAAAAGGGTTGAAATGTAAGTGGTAAGCAAAAAAAAGGAAGGGAGGAAAGTGATGTGAAGAAAGAAAGCAATAGAAAGAGCCGCTTTCTGAGTCGAAACACAGGAGACGGTCAGCCGCTGTAGGTGGCACTGTGGGCTGAATCAGTTAATGAAGGACTATAATTTGTTCACTATGTGCTCTGTAAGTTTCCATGTTTCTGATCCATACAATAATTAACTTTTTTCATTTTTATTGAAAATCCTCACTGCAATTATCCTGATTCTTCCTGACCTCCAGACAGACTCTTGCTGTTGAAATGGTCCTCTTATTGCTCCTCTTTTTGGTGTTTCAGTAGTGACAGATTTGTTTTAAAGTCTAGGGATGCTTGACTTTTTCCCAATCCCCATCCTGGCGGACCAGGTGTCTCTGTTTCGGGAGACACTACCTATTTTGCCACTAAGTCGCTTCTTATGACATGCGAGCTTTACATCAGCCCCAATCTTCTCAAAAGCCGGCGACTGTCTACAGAAAGGCCATTAGTAGACCTCATGTCTTTTCTGTCCCCCTATTGTTTCTTTCTTTCTGCCTTGTTTTTTCATTGCCCTAAATCATAAATGGTTATTATTATGTGATGTGCTTTACCCATGCTCAAACTCCACAACACACTGTACAATTGAAAACTATGATCTCATGTAATTCATTTGATAGTTCAGGTTTTTTTTTTTGCAGAAGCTGTACTTGTTGTAAAACTGTTGATGTTTAAATAAACACAGTATATTGTTGTGATGTTTTAATATATATATATATATATTGATTCACAACCTCACCTCCTTCTTTTCTTTCCGCAGATTTGGGTAGTAAGTGCCTCAGAACCTCGTCTTCCACTTCTCATTGAGGACGCCAGTAGACCAGAAGGGGAAGGGGTGAGTACTTTTTATTATTTGTGGTGTGGTTTGTCAGGTTGGAGCTTATGTCGTTAACAATGAAACTAATGCAGAAAGATTGATGATAAAATACTGTCGTTTCATTGACGGAGAACTACAGAGCTTTCAATTGCGTATTTAGTGGTATATTTTTAGCCTTTGGGGTTTAAATAGAAAACCTTTAAAAATAGTGTTATAAATTTCGAAGATATTTTTTACACAAAATAAGTAAAATACCAACTCAGAATGGCACCAGTAGAAGGATTAGGTCATTTTCTGTCGGAATTAAGTCTTTGGCTTGCGATTTTTTTTTTTCATTGATCCTTCCATGAAAGTATGATCCCAACAAATGGAGCACTCAGTACACTGCAGTATAGAGAGCTGTTTTCATTAGTTCTGTAGTCCTGCCTGGTCGTTTGAAATGTATTCTCTGCTCACGTCCCAGACAGCCACAGTACACATGTCATGTTTTATAGGAGCTGGCTACTGTCAATCAAGACACGAGGCTGGACAACCGTATCCTTGACCTTCGCACAACTACCAGTCAGTCCATCTTCAGGCTGGAAGCCGGCGTGTGTCGACTGTTCCGTGACTACTTAACGGAGAAAGGTTTTGTTGAGATACACACCCCCAAGATTATTTCAGGTGATTGTACACATGATGTTTTATGTCATTACTATCCTCTAGTCTGGAGAGATGCTAGTTTACAGACAGCTTTTGATGCAATTTGACTTAGTCCAGGTTTCGATAATATTAATGCTGAGAAGAAGCTTTACATTCATGACAATCTAGAAATCGCCTAAATGGATTGTAATTGCGGTTGTTCTACTGCTTTGGCATTATGATATTTTTGAGAGTGTATTCTTATTTTGAATTTGTATGCCTCGTGTCCCTCTTTTTATTCTGAGGTTTATAGAAAGTCTCATATTGACTGCTTAGAGTAAGACTCTGCCATCGGCCATTTAGTAGTATTGACTAAAAAAAATTAAATTCTTTTCCAAATTGCTTTAAAATACGCTTAAATGAAAGAGGAGTAAATTTGAAGAACTGGATTTTTAAAAGTTAAAAATCCCTTGATAAATAAATTAGTTGCATGTGTGCACAAGGGAGTTGGCAGTATAAAAATGATCTATCTACATTTATTATTATTGTTATAATTTAAAATGCTTTTTTTCCCCTTCTAGCGGCTTCGGAAGGTGGAGCTAATGTGTTTGAGGTGACCTACTTCAAGACCAAAGCGTACATGGCCCAGTCCCCTCAGCTGTACAAGCAGATGGCTATCTGTGCCGAGTTTGACAAGGTCTTCACCGTCGGAGCAGGTAGCCTCTATTTGTGGTCGGTTGGCGGGTACCTCTGGCGTCTCTCACTTTTTTCCCCCTGATGTTTCTGTCTATATTTTGCCTTTTCCCAGCATTATATATGACAGTTGTTGTGTCAGTGTGCGTATGATCAATGTTTTTGAGTGAAATCCGCACAGAAATGTATTGAGACATGGTAGAATTGTGGGCTCATCAATTTTTAGACATTTGCAGTTATCATCAGTCGTATCATCTTAAAACTTGTAAAATTATCTTGCGTTTAATGAAAAAAAAACATTCATCAATTTGAATAGAAGTAGAAAAGTATGCAATGAAAGGAGATGGGGGTCAGAGATAGAATTAGTGAGAAAATGGCCACCATAGTTTGGTTACTTCTTAAGCTTGAGTGTCCTTGGAATCTGCAAATTTACATTTTTTGTGTCTTTGATCAACTTTTTCAGTAAAATGCGCATAAAAATGTGTTTTTAAGTGGACATGAAAGGTGTTGGTAAAAAAAGATTGATAAATAGTTCAGCAGCAGGAAAAATGTCGGGTTTCTTTAGTTTCAATATTTTGACAAGTGCCTGATTTCACCGTGATGCTAAACAAACGTTTAAAATTTTCAAACGACTTGAAAAATATCAGTTTCTTTTATTTTATTATTTTGAGGAATAGGCTACCTGATTTCACTATGATGACACACAAATGTAATTGTTCTTTCAGTGAAACAGAAAGTCCAAAAGAATAAGAAAGCGGGTGGTTGGCGGGTGCTCTGGTGTGGTTTTGCTCCTTCTTTCCTATCAAACATCTATCGTCTTTATCTCCCCTCCTTCTTTTTTGTGTTTGTTACTCTCTTGTAACACCTCTAATCTTCTGGCACTCATATGACCTTATGCAGTTGCGAGCGCCGTAAAACCTCTACTAAAACTAAAGACTAAGAAATTATAAAGATGACTTCTAAATACTGTCAAACCAGCTGTAACAGCCATCTGTCCAAGACAATCCATTGTTAACTTTTTCCCACTTCTCCCTTGTATTTCTTCTGTATGAAAAAAACACCTTAAAAAGCATCCACCTGTCTAAGACACCACCTTTTCTTGTCGACCTAAGGAAGGCAGCTGTTGTGAACAATTTTGACAGTAGTGGGTAGATGCTCAGTGTACTTTTTGACTAAACTGCAATGTGTGCTTTGGAATGTCCTTTCATGAATTTACTTCTGTTGTTTTATGTGTGTGTGTGTTTGTTTCTTTAATATTGTTATTTGTTTTTCATTGATTTCAGTTTTCAGAGCAGAAGATTCCAACACACACAGGCATCTGACAGAATTTGTGGGTCTTGATTTAGAAATGGCTTTCAACTATCATTACCATGAAGTTTTGGAAGTGATAGGGGAAATGTTTGTCAACATTTTCAAAGGTCTACAACAAAAGTGAGTAACAGTTAGTGATGAGTATTTTCTTTTCTGTTGTGGCTCAATAATATTATGCTGCTGTCATCATAATTCACGTCTCATCGAATTTAAAAAATCTTAGGAATATCCCATTACAGGTTGCCACCATGCCTGTTTCGAACCTATGGTTATGCCCTCCTCTAAAAGTGAGTGGTTGGTGGGTGCTCTGGTGTGGTTTGCTCCTTCTTTCCTATCAAACATCTATCGTCCTGATCTCTCCTTTTTATGCTTGTTACTCTCTTGTAACAATTCTAACTTTTGGCTGTTTTATGACTTTATTGTGTTGCTAGTGCCGTAAAACTCATACTAAACTGCTCGACTGAGTGACCACCCACCTTTATGGAAAGTTCCTGATATATTATGCTTGAAACTATTGTGACTCTTATTGACTTCTGGACCACTGAAGTATTCCTTGGCCAGTCTTAGGTATGTTAAGATGGGAGAAGTATTTGTAGGATTATAATTGCATTTACCTTCCCTTTCACCTGCACCCGTCTCTTAGTCTGGTTGACCGTTGGAGAAACAGTGTTGACTTTGCAACCGGCTTTTTCTACTGCTCTCAGGCCTCAGCTTTAATTTACATTTACATTCAGTTATAAAACTGATTAAATGAAAAGTTGCTGCAATAGCTCTTTGAATTTATGTTGGTGGGAGATTTAATGTTGAGCAGATGTGTAATCTTTTTATGTTTTAAAAAGGTTTTATCACATCTGAGTGTCGTATTTTTGCAGGATTGATTTTTAATCAATATTTGAAAAGAATGTTTTGTTGTCTCCAGTTACGCAGAGGAGATCTCTCTTGTTGGAAAGCAGTTCCCTGCAGAGCCCTTCAAGTTCTTAGAACCAAGGTATTGTGTGCACGTTTTTCTGGCTGCCTCATGAAACATATATATATATATAAGACCCCCCACCCCTGCCTTCAGATTTTTGGCCATTAAGTAAGGGAAATGCAGGCCTTGTTCAAATGATGTCTGTGGTGTTATGGTTAGGCTCTTTTCCTCTGTACATAAAAGACACAAGATTGTCATCCTTGCAAGAAAATATTTCTCTGCTGCTTTTTTGTTGTTCAACTGGAATGTTTCATCTACTTCAAGGTTCGGCCATGACTTACAGGGTCAAAGCCGCATGCCTACTAAATGGGCAGTTGAAGGGTGCCCCAGGTGGGTCCTTCTTTGCAAAGCTATCCCTGTTTTGTTTTTGTCTGTTGTGCTTTTCCCCAGAATTTCATGACTGTTATAGTGTCAATGTGCTTCGTGTGATGAAAGAAAAAAAAGTAATGAAAGGTCTGATTGATTTAAAGTTGTTTAATAATATAAAAGCTCCATAATAGCTGTACAGTGCCCGGAGCTTTTTCGGAATGGAATAAAACACTAATAAAATGTTATCTATTATTATCTGATTGATTTACTGTTGTTGTGGTCAGTTTGGTCCTGAACTACAAGGACGGTGTGGAGATGCTGAAGAAGGCTGGTGTGGAGATGGAGGATGATGAGGATTTGTCCACTCCCAACGAGAAGTTGTTGGGCAGACTGGTCAAGGCAAAGGTACGTTCCCCGATGTCTTTTAAAATGTGCATGGTGCTGTAATGTCATGTGTGAGTGTAGTTGTTTTGTTTTGTTTTATTTGTTTCCAGCAATAATTGTCTCCAGTGTATCTACAAAATACAGTATTTTGAGAGAAGAAAGAACACTGAACACAAATATGTTAATTTCTGTTTATTCATCAACACTGTTGAGGAGAAAAATGGCCTGAATTTGAGATGAGCTGGAGCACAAAACAGGAGAAAGGAGGGGGAGTGGGAATGGGGAAGGGTGCTTAACCACAAAATGTTTTTCAGGAGGTTGAGAAAAATCGACACTTCGCCCTGCTCACAATCTCTTTTCCGGTGTTCAAACTCGGATTGTTGGGGTACCTAGTTAATCTTTTTGGTGTTGAAGTGGCTGAGACTCATAGATTGATACGTTGATAACAAATGCAGCAATCATCATACCGCATAGTAATAAACTACAACTCAGATTATAAATAAAACTTTATTTTAACTACTTCATAAGGGAATCAAACTCACGTATCCTATATGCAGTGGCGAAGATCGTAACCTTTACTCCATGGACACTGGTAAAAAAAAAAACCCGAACTGTTGATATTCTGTTGAGTGAGAGCTATGAACTTTGCTGACTGACTGTTGAGAGGCTGTAGTTGTTTCAGTTGTATGAACATAGTTGAGATTAAGAGCAATACACTGAAAGTCCTGGGTATTTATGATAGGACTGTTTGTATACCCCTGCGTATGTTTTGAGTTTGAGCAAAGTAAAGTAAAACACATCAGCTTGATACCTGGTAATGGTCATTTAGTAATAGGCATAAGACGGTCAGACATATAAAATACGAATAAAGAAGAACCAATGGCACCCTGCAACCACCAGCCAACGGCACTTGAGCTTGAAGAGGACTTTTTCTATTATATTATATGGATGTATAATGTGTGGAAAGCTGAACAGTTATCTTGTGCCAAAGTCTCAGTTGGGAGCAAGATATTTTGAGCTTACTTTTGAGATATTTTTCATTTTGTCTTTTTCTCACAGTATGACACCGACTTCTTCATCCTGGATAAGTTCCCCTTGGCGGTGAGGCCGTTCTACACCATGCCTGACCCCCATGACAATGTGAGTACTTGTTGGCTACTTTTCCTTGAGTCCATCTGATGTTTATTGGGGGGGGGGGGGGGGGGGGGGGAATTTCTTATTAATAATTATAGACATTAATATATTTTGACTTTTTCTTCACGTTTCAGCACTGTATTTTGCTATTAATTACAAATTACTTCAGAATAAAGTTTGTTTCACTTGAGACTTTCCATTTCTCTGTTGTTCATCTGTTAGATCACTTCTTTTCTTGCTGATGCAGGGACAGGAATTTCTTTTTGTAAAGGAATCCTTGTCTCTTCTATTTGGATCCAGAGAGAACACCATTCCACAGAGAGATCTTAAAAATACGTTCAAAAGCTACACCTCTGGTTTATGGGAGGTACAATAGATCTAACATATATGAATAATAAACTCCACAATAAAATGCCCAAGTTGGACGCATACATACCTATTATATATGCTTTTGTGATCCTTAAACTTGCGTCATTTTTAAAAAAGTTGATTGGCATTTGTCTTTGGGGAAATTGTGTCATTTTTCTCCTTGTTACATTTTTGTCAGAAATGGTCCAACTCGTACGACATGTTCATGAGAGGAGAGGAGATCCTGTCGGGCGCTCAGCGAATTCACGACCCAGAGTTCCTGACGAAGAGAGCAAAAGAACATGGAGTTGGTGAGTACAACACAATAGGGCTATATATAGTGCTTAATATTTTCTCCCTTTTGAATAATCTCGAACTAAAATGTGTGGTTGGAAGGTGCCACTGAAAGATCCGCTCCTTCTTATTCGCTCTTCCTCTCTTGTTTCTGTCTGTCTGTCTGTCTTGTGAGTGGTTGGAGGGTAATACTGGGAGATCCTACTTCTTTACTTTCCCTCTGTTGCTTGTCTGTCTGTTTTACTTTTTCCCAGCACCACATGACCATTTTTGTGTTGACATGCTTCTCTTTACTCAAACAAATTAACAAACAATCTGTCTGTCTTTCTCTTTTCCAAGCACAAAATGACGGTCATTGTGTTTCTGCTTCTCTTTATTTCAAACAAACAAACCTTGAGTATGTTATTTTCTTACTGTTTGCTTGGTCTGATGGTGTCTCTTTTTTCTTCTCTCCAGACATTGAGCACATCAAGGGCTACATCGACAGTTTCCGCTATGGAGCCCCGCCTCATGCCGGTGGAGGCATTGGTAAGTGAGGCACCGAATGCTTAGTCTTGTTGACAGGGAGAGCGTTTCCTCATAGTCTTTGCCTAAGGCTGGG